CCACCCTCAGTTTCAGGTGGTCCCGCTCCCTCTTCCCCTTTTCCTTTCATCTTCCCACTCGAGAGATTACTCCCCTGCAGCTGCATTGGTTCAAGTGTAGCATGACTATCCCACAGAATGGCTCTGTGAAATAAAGCATTTTAATCTTCACAGTATCACCCCAGTAAGTTCAGGGCTCAGAGTGAGAGCACAGCCCACTGAATGGGTGCAACTGGTAGGACAGTAACTTTCTGAGAGGAGGATGTGTGAACCTCTTAAATTGAATGTGCTGATAGCGGTGCAGGGATGTGAAACCACAACCTAATGAATAACAGATAGCAGCCTTCAGGCGTTAATACCAATGGGATGATGTATGAGATCAGTAGTGTTAATACGTAATGAATGTACGTATTTTAAATATTTTCACAAGTAAATTGCTTTACCACTTACTGTAGTAGGAATTTTCCCATCTTCAGGTAACATAAGTGCTTGGTTCTCTATTGATTTTAGACAGAGTTATTCCAAATACAATTCTCTAAAGGGATTTGATACTTGGGTGCAGAATCTGCATAAGAGCCTCATGCTTGTCTCCACCTACAGAGCAGTTGCAGGTGTTGAGGTTGCTGTAAATAGTCCTGGGACCAGTATTATGTATCTGTAGGAGGACTTGGTCACAATGCGAGAAATCATTAGCCCTTCTTGTCAGTTGTTAAGGAGCTGGAGCTGTCCCAACCTCTGCAGCTACTCTCTGTACCACATGCTTAACTGCTGAAAGCCATACAAATACTAACTGCACCTGCAGGGTTCACATGCCAGCAACTGCTCCCATAAACAAGAATTGCAGCTCCCTAGTCCTGCAAGGAGCACTGTATAATCTAGTGGTAAAGGCAGAATAATAAATGTCACCTGGTCAGTCTATGATTTATAACTTTATTTACCACATCTCATGCTCTTTCATGGCAACAGCCTCCATAAAGAATGTTTCAGGATAAATTTCAAGGCAGGCTATGTGCAGTTTTTCTGTGAGGGCAGCTAGGTTGCAGTTGGAAAGCAAAACACCAAACTAGTTAAGTCTGGTTAACTATAACAGGTTAATTACCTGGCAGAGTCAGATTAAAATAAAAGCCTTGGCAGCAAGTCTGTCTTGCCTACAGTGAGTCCTTCCCTCTCCACTTGTTTTTTCAGCTGAGCACCTCTGAGTTGCCTGCTGCACTGCCTAAATTTCCCCCGGACTCCTCTGGCTCTGGGAAGAGCTCTTCTCCGGCAGTCTGGCAGTACAGGCACCTCCTGCTGTTCTTGGACACCTCCCAGGTTGCATCCCCCTTGTCTTTCCCTCTCACTTGCCTCGCCCTGTTGCCACAAGCTGCTGGCAGTTCGATGTGCCCTCTGCTCTCTGGGCAGCAGCAGCAATCCCTCCTCCTGAAAGGTTTTGTCTGATAAGAGCACCCAAGACAAAGCCAGAAACCCACCTTTCTCCCCGCTGCCCCGCCACAGCCCTTTAACAAAACATTTTGCTGTACAACATACCTTAATATCAGTATAATAAACTGAGCATCACTCTGCTATCCATTACAGAAATTTACAGAGACCTGAGCTGCACTGAGCATCATCTACTCCACTCAGAAAATTTAGCGGCAGGATCTAGAGCTTACAGTGCTACAGCGAGTGCCGGGGTGCAGCTGAGCAAAAAGGGGCAGGAGGCTGCAGGCTGTCGGGCAGAGAGCACACGGAGGGGCAGAGCAGTGGGAAAGAGATGATGCTGAGAGCAGAGGAGTTCACAAGGGGAGTTAATAACTCTACATAACCTTTTCTCAATATAGCAGCAGTGCTCCAGATGTAGAATAGTCAGCACAGATTAGCAGAGACCTCTCATTAGAAAGGGCAACGTTTCAGGTCTGAGCTAGGCTTTAACAAATGATTCTGAATGTTTCAGGTGAGCGCTGCCGACAAGCCTGTTCTGGCAGGGCACAGCGCCCAGCGGACCCGTGCTGCTGTGCTCGGATGCTTGCCTCTACCAAGGGGGCCTCACAATGCTCATGGGCTCAGCTTCCCCCCGACTTCATGAGGAGCAGCATCTGCCCTCTCTGAACATCCATGTTGCCACAAGCACAAGAGCAGAGAGTAAAAGATAGAAGTCGTATCACATAATCCCCCCCAAAACTGGCAGAGGCCTGGAGAAATAAAATGAAAGTAAAATAAAGATCATAAGCAAAAAATCATCATGGATATCTAGAAATAGAACTGAAGGGAGAGGGTCATCAGTATGGCTAACAAAAAGTCTGGGCAAACTACAAGAGACAAGAAAGGCAATTAAACAGATACACAATGGCTGGAGTTCTTTGAACCACTTCCCTATTGTTCATAGTGGGAGGAGGGTAAAAATTCTTCTGGGAACTCCCTTCAGGTAAGCAAGGCAGAGCCATGGCACGGAGGGTGCAAGCTCCCTGAAGAAGAGGTGTTCCAGCAAGTAGAGAGACTTATTAGCAATCACTCCTCAGGGCTTGATGTTCTTCTGAGAGATGAGAATGAAGTGGAAACAAAGAAAGTAGCTGAACTGACAGGAGTGCTGCTTATCAGGACAAGGCTTGTGACAAAGACCTAGTGGGTGGGTATGTCCTGGCTCCTGACTTTGTAAAGGGAATTTACAGAGTGCTGGTACCATTTCAGCCCGCAGGAAAATTTTTAGATAAAAGTTATTAAAGGCAGGTTCATAGTCTGTACAGAGGCAGCTAAACAAACAGAGAAAAATTATGGATGCTACTACTGCTGCTAATAACGGTTCCTACAAATAATGGCAAGGAGGATGCCAAGTTATCTTGAGTAGTCTAGAAAGCAAGGAAAATACTAGGGAATTTATTGACAGTATGTGTCTGTTCTCCTGATGGTCATCTAAGTCTTGCAGAAAAAACACTGCTTCCCCCTGCCCCCCTTATGACACAGCTCACCAACGAGATATTTGTAGGAAAGGAAAATTTGTAGGTGATCTATTCATGCCATTGAGCAGGTGATTAATGAACACTTTTTAATTACCTTTGCTGAGACAATTACAAACGTTAGCATTCTTGAAATTAGCACCCTTTTAGAAACAAATGCCAGGTCCTCAATGTTTGTGGCCTCCCACTGCAGTGAAACATGCAAGCTGGCTGCAGCCCCGGGAGGGACATCCTTGTGGTGTCCCGGGCTGGCAGCTCCCCGATGGAGAGCCATTGGCCTGGCGGGCCACACACCGTCCTCCTTCCTTACCCAAAGGGTAACGGATTTGGAGCCAACTTGCTGCGTTTCTGTCCTTTTGAGCTTCCTGACCACTGGGAAAGAGGAGCCCAACAGAGTGCCAAGGGCTTCAGGTTGCTCCTACACTAACACAAAACCGGAGTGGCATCATGAAATCAAAGAAGTTAAAATGCTGTAAGCACAGTGAGAATAAAGGCCTAAAATTGTCCTTAATTAGTTTAGATTGGCTTCTTCTTAAGCATTCCTCAGTGGCTTTTTATTACCAGGTTGCTCTGGGTAAGCTAATGATCACAGAAACTGTACAGAGCCTTGAAATGAAATGGATTAGCTGAGCTTAACAAAAAAGGTACCTCTCTGTTTCTTAAGCCAGATTTTGTGGGTGAATTAATACAAACCAATATTCATCAATGTTCTTCGTCCAAACAATATGTGCTTGTTTTTACCTCATTCCTACTGTTAGATCAGCCATGCAAACAGCCTCTTGCAGTGCTCTGCTGTGGTTTAGAGCAGGCAGACACAGCCTGAATCCAAATTTCCATAGCTGACCGCTTGTGCCAAACTCTTCTTAGCATAAACCAGCTCACTATTAAAACAACTATACTGAGTTAAACCATTATATGCAACTATACTGAGTTAAAACAATGAAATGCAGAGAAACTTTGGATTCGTTGTAAACAAGCTAAGCTTTGAAAGGCTATTTCTGCTACAAACTGTTTCCTAGTTTCTGCTTAAAACGCTTTTTCCTCAGGTGATGTATTTCTGCCACACAATCATGCCCTTTCTCTTTTGGCAAGCACTGGTTCCCCCAACTCCCATGCCCTCAGTTTTGTACAAAGCCAAAATTAACGTGGTTTCATTGGCAGAGCAAGAACTGTTTATCCAGGTACTTATCGTCTGGGGAAGACCTACACGCTCAGATTTGCCATTTGTCGTACTACGTGGCTCACTCTGTAACCAAACTTCTCCCACCCAGAAACTACTCTGATATCAGAGGTCCAAACAGTGGCCCGATTGCTGATAGCAAACTGATAGTATGCAGAGCACTTCAAAATGAGCTATGTCTCGGCACAGACCTGGGACTTTTCACAGTTGGGGGTGCTATCTGTTTCTTCCAGTTGCATTACCAGACAAGAAACATATCTAAACAACTGACCTAAAACTTGCTCTTCCCACGCACATACTCCTTGGTCTATAATTTGTAGATTATCTGTTAATCTCCTGTGCTCCTACTAGCTCCAGATCATAACACTGCACTTTGATGTACTTGCAGGATTGCAGCCAAAATGAAGTTTAATGGCCACAGAAGCTCTTTTTAAGTTAGGAACCACCCCAGTAGCTACATTAAACTACCATTGTAAGATTACGATGAACTGGGAAGATGAATTTGGGGGTTTGTCCATTTCTCTTCATGTTTCAGGGCTGATACTCACATGGGTAAGTAAAAAAAAAAAAAAAAAGTGTCTGTAGCTGTCTCCAGATACCTCAAGAGGCGATGCTTAATGACATTTCTACCCTGTGGACCTCTAAGGACTATTTCCAAGAGACCTAATAATGTGACAAAAAACCCCAAACCCACTGCCCATAAACTTATTCAGCATTCAGTGTTCCAGGTCTTCACTGTGCCCACAAAAAGGTTGAAATCTTTTAGTAGAGGTGAAGGACAGAAATTAGCCACCATGGGCTATTGCCATGAAAACCAGGAGAAGCATCAGTAATTTTTTGACAGCGGTGAGACCAGGGCCCTTCCCATGACTTAAATGTGGCCTCTTTGTAATGTTTCCGTCTCGCAGAGAAGTTGTTACTTTCAACCACTTCCTGGAAGAAGCAGCAGAAAAAGAATTGCGGGGAAAAGCCAGGCTCCAGCACTTCATTGAGAACCTGTTGCAGCGCGTGGATCTGGCAGAAAGGCAGCTAGAATATTACCAAAATCAGCAGATGGTGTGCAACCACACCGACGTCAGCGAGCACGTGGTAAGCCGGCAAAGTCCTTCCCTGCATTGTCACCCACCACCGGAGGGAAAGTACTGGAGTTTGAATTCGGGTGGGCTCAGTGGGACAGGCTAATTGCTACTCCAGACGGATTTGGATTTATAAAATGTTTCTTTAGGCATGTTTGATTTATGTTTTAAAGTGCCTCTTCATACGAAGCAAAAGGAGCAGAGAGTGTAAGAGCAGCAGTAGAGTCCCTAAGATGGCAAAGGGAGAGCAGAGAATAATGAAATATTTGCCAGATATTTAGTTTTTTTTCCAGCTTTGGCTATTGCGGCTGTTACCTTTGCAAGAAACACTTTCCTTGATGTCACTTAGTGACTTGGCAGTTTTTTGGAGATCTCTAATGATTTTCAGGAAAGATGTGGATCCCTACAGAGGACATATCAGCCTGCTGGCAAGTCGGGTTGCTTTCTGTAGTTACCTGTCACGGGACTCTTAGACATGCTGAATAGATTCCCACAGATTAGAAACCAAAGTTGTGTGAACATTTTTTAAAATACATTATTTCTTTTAAAGCCCTCATTTTTAACACTTAAACTCAGTATTTCCCCTACAATGCATTACATTTATCTGGCAAGTTTTAGCCACATGACTTCCAAAGAACGTTTCGGTGTAAATGAATACGCCGTGCTGCCTATGCTAAGTAACTGCTCATCCTGGGAGGTGGGAGGAAAGGCATTTGATCACACACAGCACTGAACAGGTCTGTAATGGTGGAAAGCAAAGGTTCCCATGGCCACTTGGAAGACAAAGAGCTTTAGGCAGGACCTGGATAAATGTAGATGTGCTGAAATCTAGCACAGGACATCTCAAACATTGTCTGTGAGAACGCTGAGGGGGACTGTAAAGCTGTGCCTCTATTAAATCATCTCCCCTGCTCTTGATGTGTTTACCGGGATCCCTGGCTCAGCAGTGTCCCTTGGGGAAGGCACTAAATTTTGAGGCAGCTGCCCTGCTTTCTGAGTGACTTCAGCATTCCCCTAAGGTCATCCATCCAAATACTGACCAGCCTGACCTTCAGGAGGTAATTACAGAAAAGCACACCATGAGATGGCTCCAGACTCCATCCAAAACAGATGACAAGCAAAGTTAGGCTGGGCACAATTCCATCTGCAAAGTGTGGACAATACCAGGACAGAGGGAATGTTTACGAGAACATAATAATTTTCAGATACCAGATCTGACTTGCTTGGCTCGGGTGACTTCATTAAATGGTACTCAAAGGCTCAGTCTAGTAGCACTGATACAAGATCAGTACAAAGAACGAATTTAGTATCCTGACCAATTTAGGCTGAGGTGGCATTAACCACGTCCTTTCCTGACCCCCACTAAAAGAGGGACTAGACAAAGTGTTTCCACTCCGTGAACCAAACTGTTGTAAAAAATGAAGTCGTGCAAAGTTGTGCTGGCACTGAAGCTATGCTGTCCCTAGCTGGTCTCAGGATTTGGGGTGGGAAGGGAGAGGAACACTTGCATTCTCACCCTCCACCCTTCAGTGCTGCTGTAGGCAGAGCCAAGGGCTCATAGCTGGAGTTTCATAGCCGCTTGTGTAAAGGAAACGTATCGCTGCAAAATTAAAGGCTCTGAGAGAAAGTTAATTTAATACAGCTTATTCAGGCACTGTCCCTTATTAATTATCTTGAACATAATAATTATTTCTCATTGTATCCATACTGTTTAATCCAATGTGAAAGATCTCTGTTCAGCCCACACTTCTTTAGCAATTTACTTTGATTACAGTTACGATAAAAATAATGGGGGAAAAAATCCAACCACTAACAACTCACACGTTACAAATTTTAAAAACAGATGTAATAAGCTGGAGGAGTAATAATCTGTAAAAGGGTTTTTTTTCAGTTCCTTTCATGAATATTCTTCTAGTTTTAACAGCAGGTGAGAATGGAAATATGATTTTGAGGACTGCATATATTTTATCCCCGTACTTTAATTACTTGATAATGTAATATTAATATCCTGTTTCTGTTTTCTTTGCAGTTTACAGACATTTCATTAAATAAGAAACCCAGATGCCTGTATGTATACCTTTTTATTTTTCTCTTACTTAAATATACTAACTTGACATTCTGCTTACATTTTGGCTTTTGCGTTTCACCTTATCCAAAAGCCTGAATCAAGTTGGGTTTGGATCAGGTTCTATACTTGATTATGATCTATATTTATGTCATGTAATAGAGGAAGAACAGATTTCTGCTAAATTAAAGCTAAAATCAGATATTCTTAAAAAAAACCCCAAAACCCCACACCTATTTCTGTTAAATGAATGACTCCTTCCTGCTTACTATAATAGCCTGTTGTAAAGCTACAGCAGTTGAATCTCTTCAGCAAACACAGGTCAAGTTTCAGCTGAAAATATCTTTAACATTCTGTAGGTAGGAGAGAGACAGTTGTCATTTCCTAACTGACAGTAACACTGTCAACTTAAAAATCACATGTAAGCAAACAAGCACCCTGTGCATGGGCACTAACAACATCTCAGGTTACTCAAGCAGCTGTCCTAGGAGCAGCAGAACTAATTGGGGCTGGTTTCCCATGTCTTTGCGACTTGGGCATGAATCCCAGCGGCTGGTTCGGAGTATTATGCGTGCTGCTGGGCCAAGTGCATTCTTCCTCAGGGCAACCTTTCTCAGTGGGGACCCGGGTTCGGGTCTTTTTCCTGTTGCCCTGAAACCTGTTGCATCATCACAGGTCTGGGACTTCTGCATCCCTGCCAAGTTTGTTTGTGTTTGACCAACAAGTTCAAGAATTACTGGAAGACCGAGACACACATGAACAGATGGATGGGCTGGAAAATAAACTAAAAATGCGACGTATAGCCTACTGGGTTGTGGAGGGGGGAGGTGTGGTTTTTGCTCTTGGGGTTGTTTTTGTTTTCATATATCTTAGTCCTAGCAGGCAACTGGCCAAGTACCCTTTTGCTGATAAGCAGTGTGTGCGTTAATAATTAACAGCATGGGGCTTTAGCTTTGTTTTTTCTACTTTTTATTTTCATAGCTTTTGTAGTTTGTGGGATTATTTTACCTGCTGATTTGAGATTCTGGAAAAACTTGATTGTCCAAAGTAGACTTTGAGTTGACTGAGTAAACACTTTTCAGGCTTCTAGATGTCTTAATATGATTGGAATCAAGGGAAATAGAATTAAAATATAACCAGTGAATTCAGTGACTCAGAGATGAGTCCTTCCACTGACAAGTCTTTGGTCTAAATATGACGCAGTTTGGTAAAACCCATTAATTGCTGACAAATCGTGGGAGTTCAAAGGCATATATGAAATTATTTAGACATTTCTGTTTAACTACCGATATACTTCTCCTTTGAAAAGACACTGTCAAAAGTAGAATTTAGTAGTAGCCTTTATTGGGAGTTACCAGATTAAAAATACGCCAACTCGTCCTTCGAAGCAAGAAGGATAGAGGAGAGATTGCTCAGAGGAGTTGGAAAGTTTTATTTTGCTCTGCCTGTTCTGTGGATGAACCCAGCGTTTGCATTCACTAAACCAGCTTTTTTAAGAGCTCTAACTCAGCTAAGTACATAAAATGAGGTTTTAATGACAGGTACCAGTTAAAAAAATTGGGAAGCCTTACTACCCATCCAGAAAATTCAGTGTAATCTCAGGGAGTTTGGGGCTGCTGATGGCTTATGTTTTTTGGTATCAATGGCTGGACTTGCAATCCCTCTTGCCCCAAGGCGTCCACCTTGCTTCCCAGTTCCTTTTCTCCAGTTTCTCCTGGCTGTTTTCAGGAAATGCCCCACTGAGGGCATGGCAGACCTTTGCTGAAGCTCATTTCTCAAGGCACTGAGACTTGTCTGCACATCTGTGCCTAAATCAACTTTAAATGCCAGCTCCCACTGTGAAGCAGCTAAGAATTGGGTCTCTCAAAATCATAGAAACCTGTCTTGAAAAATGCCTGATGTTTGTGAAATGCAGCAAGAATAGGATGTTTCTTAAGTGCCTGTGGCAATGGGGTGCATTTAGTCACATAATTTCAGTCTTTCTCCATAATGCGACAAATGAGGAATATGTTTGAGTAGAAGTTCAGATTCTCACAGTCACTTATATCAAGGAGCTGCCACTTTCGATGAAAAACATTTTCTGCATCTGGAGCTGGCAGCGTCGCATTTCATGTGCAATGACTTGCATCTTCATCTGTCTTAGATACCTTCTTACCCAGACTGTGAATTAGGGACAGACGTCCTTCTTCTCTACCATAAAGTCGTTCAATTTAAATACAGTTTAGCTTTTTTTAGGCAATCCCCTCTGATCACATTAACCTTGACCACCTTCTGGTTTTAAGAGCATCATTCAGTGCAGTAGAAGAGTGACTAATGTCACCTGCAATCACCTGCAGTAATGCCTGCATGTGCTTTGGCAATAAATGATGTAACTTTTTCACCATAACAACATCTGAGAAAAACAGAACACTACGTCTTTTAACAACAACTCAGTAATGGACTGCAACAAACAGTGCCCAAGCAGTGATCATAAACCAGAGTGGCCAACACTTGTGCACTTATACAAGTCATTTCTAACCCTTAGCAAGTGGTCAGAGCACAGGCCTGCACCAGGCCAGCGTGGCACAGAACCTGCAAGCTCCAGCTTGGACCTGCATGGCATTTTCCCCCTAAAACTTCCCCATAGGGAAGTCTGGTTGGCAAAGCTGCCAGCCAGGTAGAACTGTTCTGTAGGTGAGACTTGGTTCCCGTGCTGTTGACAGGCCCTCACTGCCACCCACCAACAAATACACTCTTCTGTGGCACCCTTCTGGTCTTTTAAAGAGCGGAAGAGGGCTTGCACTGTACGCACTTGAAAACGGCAGCTTTTTCCAAAACTGGCTTTGTCAAGTGTGCAATTTTGTTTAACTCCCAGGAGAAGTAATGCTACACATACGTGGTTTCCAGAAATAACGAGCTATGGAAAATAGCCCTACGGGAACCCTTAGGAGATCAACTTGTACATCAGCACATCTGTTCTTCACTTCAGTCACAGTAGCTGGGCAGACATGAGCTGGTGCCTTACGTTCATAGTGCTGCGGTTAGACTACACGTAGCTGCTGTAAAACATTCCAAGATTATGTTAAAAGAGACCATAATGATCTGACTTAGCTAAACCACGGAACTGCAATTTCATTGTAAAATTTCAGAGCAGAGGGCAGCCTTTGCAGCACCAGGCACCATGCTGTTACTCACCGATTTCAGCAAATCCTGCTGGGCCTGAACCATTGCAGAGAGAACAAAGAATTCAGCTTATTTTAGCCTTTGAGCTTGCATACCCCTCTTCCCACCAATTTCTGTATTCCCCTTTCCTCTTCTCCTGTTTCAAATCAAAGCCTAAAAGCAAAGGTAAAGTTTCCTTACATGGGTGGCCACGCAAAGGTAGAGCTTGGAGTTTCCTGAGATATTGGCCATTAATAGCAGCAGTTCCCTAGGGCCTGGCTGCAGTCCAGGGCTGAGATTCCACCAAGAAGTTCCTACAGTTTGGGACATTTTGGGGACCTTTCACTTTGCAAGATTGAATAATAGTTATTAATAATCACTATTATTAATTTCAGGAGCCGAGGAAGTCAACACGCTTCGTATAACATCCCTGATGCAAAGCCTCATTCCTTTCAAAAAGGAAGAATTTTGTTGAAAAAAGCAAAGGAGGAAAAAACCAGCTTGCAGCCAGTGAAATGCTTCTATGAACCTGTTGATTACTCCAGAGAAATATGGAGAGCACAAAAGAAAGGTGAACCAGTCTGCTCTGCCAGGAAAGTGAGCGCAAAATCCAAGATGGGTAAAAAGGCAAAACCGCTATAGGAATGGTTAGCAATATATAGTAATGCAGGAGCTTGGCTTCAACAGAACAAATATTGAATGAGGTTAATCATCCTACATTTTCCTATCCATCTGGCCATACCAAAACATATCAGATATAACATATAGAAATATATACAGTATGGAAGATTTATATTATTTAGTAATGACATTCCCTCTTTGGGCACTATAAGAGAAGTTACATTTTATTCAGTTTACATGAAGGTTTTTCTATTTATTTATTTATTTATAGAGCTTATTTTAAATGACTGCAGTTATCTTGCTGGGCAGTACTGTGGCTGTATGTTTAATTATTTTAGTGGCAGCATGTGGCTTGGTAATTTATTTTCCATCTGCGCTGTTGCTGAAGTTCAGAAGAATCCATTTAATCGGCACCTAAATATTCAGTCTTTCAGCTTAGGTAGGTATAAGATCAACGATTAACTGTTACCTGCACAGGCATACTTAGATACAAAAGGTCTACGTGAGTTTCTCAAAGGCTGTTTACAGCAGTAGGTTGCTACCCTGGATTTTCTGCCATGAGCCCAGTCGGGCACATTTTGGTATTTTATTACATACATTAAACCACTCGATCCCGCCAGCAGCCACGTTGTCTATTGATACAAGATTGGGCTGCTCTGTTGTCTCAAGCACAGCTTTCACATTCCAGAAGCTCTCTGGTTTTGCCATACATACCAGCCTCTGGTGTCACTTAGCGAGGAGACCAGAAGCTGGTACCGCAGCCCTGACAAGCAATGGACAACACTGAGCCAGAGGAGAAATTTCAGTTCCAAGTGCCAACAGCACGTTGTTGTTGAGTGTGACGCAGCCAGCGAAAGGCGAAAGCGACATATGGCGTTGCACAGCACCACGATCAAAGCCTGTGCTTGGTTTTAGGTGAGAGAGGCCTAAAATGGCTGTAATAATAACCGAAACCCTTCCCATTTTTATCTCACTGAAGAATCGTTACAGGGCTGAGAGATCCCTGAATTTCAACTAAAAACCCAAGAGTAAGGAAGTTAAGAGACGATTGCAGGATGGGAATGTGCGTGTTCACATTGGTTTGTGCCAATTAAAAGGATCCTTATTTATCAGAGTATTTATCAAAATGACTTTTTGTGTGTACAGTTTTTTGGTAACATGAATCCTCATGCCATGTTTACAGATACGAGCATCCTGTCGATGTTACTGATGAGATTTGTTTTCTCAAAAAAAAGAAAGGATGGGTGAGACAAGTGCGTCTAATTTATTTTTTAAATGTTCATAACAGATGTAAATTGTTTTTGTGGAAGGTGATTTTTACAGTATGTGTACAAAGATTTGTGAAAAATGTTTTTCATTTTTTATAACTATGACTGTAAGCAGAACCGAGTATTAAAAGACAGTGTATCACTATGATTACTGCTGCAATAAGCACCTGAGTTGCAATATTTTTAAAGCAGATGATGACCCATCAGTCAGCTAGGATCAGGTAACTACAGATGTCATACATTTGTCAGTGTACAGAGCTCCCAGAAAGTAGCAGCATGAAGAAAGAGAGTATTATTCCTCACCTTTATTTTAAATAGTGTATATGGAACGATCAGATATATGTTTCAAGTTTCTTAACACTGTTTCAGTAGAAAGTCACAGTGTAAAACCAATTCAGGTATTTAGGTTGCAATGACATTTTAATATTTATTTAACTACGTCACAAGGCCACATTTGGCCTTACACTAAGCATTGTGTGTGGTGAAAAGGAGTTGTTAATTGTGTTGCATGGGTTTGGGTCAGATCATGTGTTATGACAACTTTCTTAGGCAAGCCACAAAATAGAAACATCCTAGAGTTTTTTCTATTGCTTCCCATATCCTTTCACAAACCTGAAAAAATGACCCTTTTTGAAGATAAGAAAGGTGAAATTTAAAAAGATTAATAAAGTATATTCATCCATTCCTTTATCCACTTGACACTGAAAGAATATTTTTATTTTTAAATGCCTGTTAGTCACCAAAGTTAAGTGCAACTACTAGTTCACAAATGAGGTGTTTATTTTATTATTTATTGCGCCAAAATCTTGACTATAAGTTGTCTTTTTGGGGGAGGAAGAGAGAAAAAAGAGTAAAAGTTGCATGTTCTTAACTTTTCAAAGCCTAAGTTACAGTTACTTGCTGAACAAAGGCCAGGTTATTTAATTAGAAAGAAATTGGATTGTACTGTAACCCCAGATAAAAAGTTTTTAGAATATAAACATTCTAATAATAAAGATATATTTCTCAGTTACTGTGTCATTTAACTCTGTAAACCACATTTCTCACAAAAACCTACCCAGCAGCCCAGAAAGAGACAACAAACAGCAGCCCTGCTTGGACTTCTCTTCATTCCTCAGATAAACCACCACGGCAGTGAAGTGGAGCTGAGAGCTCTCAGAGCATTACAAATTAACCTGAAAGACAGCTAACAGCATCTTGCCTACGCAGTTTGTACTTCTTGTCACCTGCCCCTCTCCTACCATAACGAAGCTTGAAAATGATTCCTGAGATAACCCACGTGGTCAGATAACCTGCCCAAAGCAGAGGCGGGGGGAGTGGAGGGAAGGGTCAGGCAAAGGAAAGTAAGGGCAGAGAGGAATGTAGGTGATAAAGTCTCCCTCACATTGCCAGTTGCTGAATCATCCTTTCAACACATATCTCCCTGGTTATACTTGGAAAGAGAGGTTTTTCCTGTGGGAGAACTGGGTTCCTGTCAAGATGGTAACACGGGAGAGGTGCTGTAGAAGACTGGACAAGGAGATTAAGTCCCCTCAGAGCCTGAATAATGTTCATCAGGAAAAAAAGGCTCCTTCCCAGTCATGTTTACACAATTTACTAGCTCATTTTTAAAGTTAATGTCTGGTCATCAGCAGAACTTGACTGCTGGATATGTGTATCACGTCTATGCTCCATGTCCCACTAACAGAGATGGAATGCTTACACCCTTACAGCTGAGCTTTCTGCTTAAAACAAAATGTTCTGACTGACATGTATCATTACAGGCCAGGAAAACAAGAGACTAATTGAAACCTAGACCTTTACTTAGACCTGTACATGGAAGACAGACAATCATTTTGAGATGCTCCTGCCAGTTGAAGACAGAGCATGTTTTTAAAGCACTTAATGGCATCTGCCCCCTCCTCTGCCTCAGCAGTAAAAACAGTGTGTCCCTCCGCCCAGAGGAGATCTGAACACATTTGGTTTGTTTCCAGGAGAGTTACTGGAAATATTCAACAGGATATTCGTAGTCAAAGGGATGGACACCAATTAGAGCAGTTACTAGGTCAAATTACCACTTTTATCACCCTAATAATCCTTCCAGTGCCAGAGGCTCTTTCAATCTACTTGAGCAAAATCCCGCTCTTCTCTCTCTTTATTCTGCGTCACCAGATAGTTGCCTCTATTTGTTCTTACCTCAGACTAATGCTGATTATTTCCATACATCCTGTCTGAAGTGGCTGGAGTGGACTATTTTAGTGCTTTTTGCAGTGGCCATGGGCATTGTTTTTCATTTTTTTTAGTAAAAAATAATCCCAGAAGTGATTTTATGACATGAAACATACAACAAGCTCTTAAAAATAGATCCTGTTGTGACACGAACAAAATGTCCTTTCCCGTTTTGTTGCTAATGCCACCCTTTATCTAGTCACGCTTTTATTCTGGTCTCTTGAATTTTCATTTGTACGTCTCTCCAAGGAGAGCGAGAAACAAGCAACATAAGTTAAATGCAGTCATTGGCTTGACAAGCCTCTTCCCCCTCGCTGTCTCTGTCCTGGCATCGCGTGCTGCAGGCAGGTAAAAGTTGTCTCAAATTTTTCATAAAATGGTGGAAAAATAGATAAAACAGATTTTGGGTTCATTATAATATTATGAAACAGGAAGAGGCTCTTCTGAGCTGAGGGAGAGAAAGAAAGAGGAGGAGAGATCCTCTGCTTGCTTGAGAAGTCACTTTCAAAGATAAATGTGATGGGTCAGAGGAATTTACTCTCTGCTGGTGTGAGACGAGGGAAAGCCAGAGTTAGGCATAAGGTAGCAATGAAAGGATGGGGGACATGTTACTGCCTGCTGTTTCTTAGAGGCTTTGACCTACAGCACATCAGAATATATATGGCCTGAAACATTCAGTCCTTAAATCACACTTTAGACACTTGTTTTGAAGCCTAATTACTAATTTCAAAGTAAAAGACTTAAGGACCAGGGCTTGCAAGAAATTCCCCAAATTCTGCCCATGGTATTTGTTCAAACCGTAGTTTAATTGGCTTACAATGGGGAATCGTGCTAAGGGGGGGCTTGTCAGCAGGGTGAGAGGGGGGATTTCTGTGTGCATTCAGTAGTTGCTCTCTCCCGTCCCTGCTCGGTGGCCGGGGGCCAGCAGCTCTGCCCAGACTCTACCCTGGCTGCCCATCAGCCGGGTCCCACAGCAATGCTTTCCTTTACGTTACCCTGCTGATTTTTCTATCTGCTTCCCAAGCTCCCTCCCCATCTTTTCTGCCAACTCAGTACCTTCAACAACTTCTCTTATGCAGCAAGCACCTTTCCTGGGCCTCAGCCTGGTAATTCACTGCATCACATCAGACACTTGCAAAACACTTTGTTTGGCGGACCGGTGGCAATTGCTGCAGATTAGGGCAGATCATCCCACTGTGCGCAGCACGGCTGCTTCCTTTGCCCCTCACCAGGTGGGCAGAGGAGACGGAGCATTACTTATTACACTGCACATGCACAATATTGGCGTTTTCCTACACCACGGCAAAGCTCACCTGTCTGCTCCAGCCATGACTATACCTACAAGTACTTTTAAACCAGTCTGGGGAGCAGAGGGCCAGGAAATGGTCTTCTGGTTAGATTAAATGCACATTTGGGCCATATAGACAAAAGGTGTTGTGTGAATATACAGCTGTGCACAGCATAAGAGATCCCAACCTTACAGCACACAGGTATGTGTTTGGCTTTACCTGAATAACTGAAAGCCACGCATATGGGCTGGCCGTG